AAGGGGGCACTCTGTCACCCTGGTATTCAGCCCCTGGTGGAAGGGGGCACTCTGTCACCCTGGTATTCAGCCCCTGGTGGAAGGGGGCACTCTGTCACCCTGGTATTCACCCCCTGGGCTGCTCCATGGCACAGTGGTGGCACCTCGCTATACAAATGACACGCCTCAGCTCAGCCGCTTGACACTGCAGTATTTCGGAGTAAATCCTGCAGACAGCACAGTATCTAGAAGTTAGACACCTGCCACATCAGCCGCATGTGTTTCCTCTCTCTTTTATTTGAACCGCGTCGGTTGGTTGCCGGGCAGCCATCGCTCTGAGGAAAGGGGACACGCAGTTGGGGAGTAAGCGTGTAATCCTGTTTGCTGGTGTAAGGCCTGTGCATTAGTGAGATAAACTGGGTCTGGTTGTGTGAATTTTGGCAATAACTCCAAGGGGGACAAAATTAGATTGGTACAGTAGCCAGTGTGTTCAAAGAAGGCAAAGCAGTGCAATGTAAATAAACTTTATGCAGCTGCAATGGTGATCTTCACATTATGCAGGCTAACCTTGTCAGTCCCACAAAACCATGTTAATTAACGAGCTGACAAGCACTGGCCTAAGAGGAGCCCCCAGCTCTCTACAGACCAGGACAGCGGCAGTACGCACTTGTTCTGTAGTATAAATACATGCTTAGATCTAAATCTAAGGTACGACGGTGCTTTCATGCTTAATTGACCATATATTATCGAGTATTTATCACTGCTTATTCAGGTCTAGCTGCTAATGTAATATTCAGCTTTCACAATATGAAGCTAATAATGTGTAATACTTCATTGGGTAAATGCTTATAAATCCCTGGATTTACATGAAAAGCATTTAATATGACTGACAAATTAAAAATAAAATCAGTACGGAATCGATATTCAGTATGTGTAGTGTAACTGCCATGAAATATGACAAACAGCATATTCATTCAGTACAGGACCAATTACAAACCCTTACTCCCACCTACTGGCTGGACATGCCAGTGACACCATTCATTCTATTTTTCATTGGCTCCTGAAGTGAACACCCAATCAGCACAGGGCGACACACAGGATAGAGGCGGGGTTTGAGCCCCTAGCCTGGGAGGAGCGAGATTACAGTGCTCCTTGCTGAAGCAGAATAGTGAAATTAAGCACGTGTGTATATACAAACTAATAAATAATATTGCTTCTAAACATTTTTCTTTTTTTTTTGCATTTAATAGGTATCTTATCACCAATTCACATTAATATATATGTTTTCTTATTCCAGATTACTGTTATGCCAAATGTATAAATGTTTTGCTCTGTTACTGTCACTCAAGAGTACAGTGGGGAGAATTTAAGCTCTATTCTCATGTATCTTAAATGTGGCACCTCAACATAAATCATGTATGAATGAAGTCAGAGTTTAATATAAAACTATGAACCTGATTTCTGTTCTATTCTAGTCTTTTTCTGTGAATAAGGTTTTGCCATTTAAAGTAATTTGGTGGGAAATAACTCTTTAGTTCCTCTAGAACAGCGGTTTGATCAAAGGTCTGCATCAGATGTTTGACCAAAGCCAGATCTCCGAACCGGCTACCTTCTGATCACAGGATATGTGGGTGTTGTGTATTCATCTCCACAGAACAAAAAATAACATTTCCTGAATTTTAAGGAATTAACAATGACCTTCGATGTGGATACCAATATATAACAATCATGGGAACGTAACCCAAAGGCACATTTAATGCTCTCTGATCATTTCGAATCCCTGTCATGAGGGGGGGGGGGGGGGGGGGGGGGCATTATGACAGGTCAGTGTGTGTGTGAAGTTTGGTGGTTATATATTGTACATCAGACCATGTTAACCCTTTTTATATTAACCCTTTTGATTCATAAGGTGCATTACCAGCTGGGTCCAGATTAACTTGCAGTGGTCCGGACTTTGAGAGCCCCTGCTCTAGAGTAATATTTTTTGCAGTGAGGCAAGTGGCCCCTGTTTAGCCACAGTCCTCCTCCCCCAGCCCTCCACATTCTGGTGACCCCCCCACTTCTGTGTTTCAGGATTTTGGGAAGGGCTCGTCCTGCATGGTCTCCCCCAGCAGCCCCACGGTTACCCCACTGGCTGCGCAGCATCACCTCCAGCTCCTGCAGCTCCAGCTGCAGCAGCAGCAGACGCAGACGCAGGTGGCCGTTGCACAGGTAAAGCCATCAAGGCTCAATGAGGGGCACTGTGACATCACTCAGACCCAACCAATGTCTGCGTGCCAGGAAAGCATTTCCTGTCACATGACACAGACAACTCACCATCTTATTAAGACGAATTCATACATTAAAGATGCCCCTTTTATGATTCTCTGTTCTCACTGATGTGAGAAATTGGGCTTTAAAATGCACCCGGTGGGGGGATTGACATGCAGTGTTAGTCACTGAGAGATTTAACCTTCCGAGACCCAATAAACTGTGAAATAGAGGGAAGGTAAACAGGCAGTGACTTTAGTGGAAAGGATAATTTCCTACTATTCGTCTATGCTTGTGTCAGTCTGAGAGGAATACAGTGACTTTTACTTTAATTAAGTCAACGGTTTGTAACAATTTAATAGATTTAACGGAAAGGAATGATCAGTAGATCTTTCACCTGGTCATGTTGCAAAGAGTCAAACAGTAATTGGTTTTCTTATTTCAAATTATGCTAGCAGATCTCATTGCAGGCCCCCTAGATACGTCTCAATTTTGTTCATCAGCTATAATTTGCTGAAAAAAATATGAATCAGCTGCAGGGAGAGAACTGGCATGAAATCACTGGATTATGCAATTAATGTTTTAATATAGAAAGAAAACGTATGTATATATAAATACCCCATAAATTCACAAGGAAGGTTTTTATCAACAGAAGGAGTTCATTCAACAAAAGCAGCGGTCATAAAAAACAATGAGCCGGAGCAACTGTATAATCCAACCAGTAAAGTCAGTCCAAACTCTACTGCTCAACTTTGAACAAAGCCTTTGGAGGGGAGCTCATTCTAACCCTGAGCAGGCGACCAGGCTTTGTAGTGTGGTAGTGGCCTCAATGCAGACTTGGATTTTCAATTGCATTTACATTAACTTCATGTAGCAGAAGCTTTTGACCAGCTGAGGCAAACAGCACATTACAAACATAGAACTGTCAAGGAGTCGACTTGAGGAGGTATAAGTGCAGCTAGACTGAGCTTCTGATGAATTTCCAGATACAGGTGTAAGCAGTATAGGAGGAAGAGCTACACAACATCACCCAAACAAAGCTTCTATTCAAATTAGCGGAAAATGCAACATGAAACGCATTCGGGCATCATCAAGCAATGTAGGCGATGTAGTGCAGGTTTTCCTGGAACACCTCACATTCATCGCTTCATAAAGGTTGGCCACACGTCCGCTGTGAAACTGCACTCTTTCACAAATGTAAAACAAATAAACAAATTCAGTAACTAAATGCAGGTAGGCTCGCTCTAGCTGTCTACAGAGATTACTGCAACTTTGGCAACTTCATTAAAAATACTTTCTGCTTCAGAGACCAGTGCATTGTACGACTGAGTAGAATTTCAGTTTTCTGATGGAGCCTGAATCAGTTAATGAATAGATAGTGTAACATGGAATTTGCATTTGTTTGGACACTGAGACTCAATTACCACTAGGGGGAGCTTTAAGCACAGAGAAGTCCTAAGGATATACGGAGTTCTGAGAATCTAACCCTGGCATAAAATTGCATGTTACTGACATTTCGCATTTATTATTTATATTATCTTGGCTTTATTGTTTTCAGACCAATAATGTCAAAGAAAATTGTTGCCAGGATTTTTATAGTCTATTATCTTGTCATATTATGCAACAAAAATAGCTTAGGTCACCGGAATTGTATCTAATTTAAAAGCGCTGGGATTAAATCTGGAGAACCTTATTAGATTTGGTGTAACAGTCATGCGTATTTATGGGTGCTGTGCGAAACGCGTGGGTTTGTGGGTGTAATGTAAATCAGAAAATGTCAGTGATACACAAACAACAGCAAAGAGCAGCCAGGTGTAGAGAGAGTAGCAGACGCCCTGCATCCTCGGCTCTTTGCCGGCTCGCTGCTGTCGGCTCTCACAGCATTCTCATGCCCTGGCAGCTGCAGCTCCTGAAGGACCAGATGTCTGCCGAGACGGCGGCCCGGATCGAGGCCCAGGCCCGGGTACACCAGCTGCTGCTGCAGAACCGGGAACTTCTGCAGCATGTGGCACAGCTGGTCCAGCAGCTCAAAGACCTGGAGGTCAAAGCTCATCGAAGGAGCCCCAGTAAGTGAAGGGCAGGCCTGGGGCAGGACCAAGGCAGGACCGGGGCAGGACCAGGACCGGGGCAGGACCAGGGTAGAACTGGGGCAGGACCAGGGCAGAACCGGGGCAGGACCGGGGCAGGACCGGGGCTCTGTCATGCTCTTTCTAATTAATAACCGCTGTGTGACTTTAAAAATGGTAATTCCCAAAATCTGTCTGACAGCCTCTGCTTAATTAGTCACTGAAATCTTGATGCTTCAGCCAGATGACTGACAGTGGATGTCATGCACAGAAAAGGCTCAAAGTGAAAGCGCTGACAGGAGGCAGTGAAGACGCAGACTCACGACGTGGCTCTAATACTGGCCGCCAGGCAAACCACTTACTGTGGAAAGGAATACATAACACCAAACGATGACAGGAACAACAAAATATTATTTACAAAATATGCCCTATTATAATTCACATTATAAAGACAATAGACCTCTAATAATAATCATAATAACGGTACTAACATCCTATCTAGGGCATCCGCTGTGATCCTGTATTGTGCAAGTGATTATGGAAGCTTGGATCGATATTCCTTTTTTATACTCTCATTACTATCATAAGTACATAAAATACTGTTAAAATGGCTAAATATGCACTTACTCAATCAGTCCAGGCTTGAACACTATCTCTGAGTGCAGGGATTAACAATGCTCATTCTTCCTCTCAGCATGCAGTGTTTGGAGGTGGAATTAACGAGAGTGCTTCATTTGCGTTAATGTTGTACATTCATACTCAGGCTGCATTCAGACACCGGCCCTCAGCCCGCCTCGTTTCCGCAGGCGACCGTTTCCATTGGCTCTGGGATTCTGAGTGAGACGACCTTGCAGAGCTGCGGGTCAGGGCCTCCTCCGCACGGGGAATTAAGCGGAATGTGTTTCACATTTACTTTGTTTCAGTTTGTGTGCACCCCGGACCAAATCTGGACTAGGTCCATGCGATAACATGCAGCTGGTCTGCTGAGTCTTAGAATTTCTCTTCAAACGTCGGAGGGCGATTGTGCGATTTTACTGCTGAGATAAGACCGCCACACATGGAAAGCTTTAGACGGAGACAGTTCAGGGGAAAAGTAAGGCTTACTGTAAACATTTCTGGAGGGACACACCATTAAAACAGGTTGTTCAGCCAAGAAAATAATGTGAAACAACAAAGCTTGAGTGTGAGTTATCTGCAGACCATTTGATTTCTGATGGTTCATCGCCCAGGGGTAGAAGTTGCACAACTACTGTGGTGCTAGTGAGACATTCTTGGGGCCAGAGTAATTCCGTCTCCTTTTCCAGCTCATGCGGTCTCTCCTTTAGGTTCTCCTCTTTTTTGGACTCTTGAAATATAAAAAAATGGAGAAATCTGCTAAGTAATAAAGCTATTAACTACAAAAGAGGGTAAACAAGGCCATGAAGATGTGAATCAACTTTCTTTGTGTTGTTCTCATTTTTTGTGTGGTTTATATATACACCAGTCTCTCTGTCTTCCTGTTGCTTTGTCCTTCTCTTTCCCATTCTTCTTGGGCCCTTGGCTTTGTGTTGCCTGCTGTGTTTATTGAAATGAATTAGAGAGTTTGTTATCCTTATGAGCTTGTGTGGTCAGGCCTTTCAGGGTCAGTGATGCCATCTCTTCAGTCATATCACGCCCTGCGCTAACGTGGCCTTATCAGACTAATGGACTCTGGGTCAGTTTGTCTTGTGTGTAGCATAGGAATCTATATTGAACGTTTGCTCAGGCTAAAGAAGGTCTCCAGCAGCACAGCAGCAGCCTCATACTGCCAGAGCTGTGGATAGTTGTGAGTGTGGAGCTTGGACGCTTTCCCATGTCATCCAGATTGCATCCGGGTGCTCCAGTGTCCTCCTGCCACCCGAGGAAATGAGTTTAGGCACACTGGCGTGTCTAAGTTGCCGACAGTGTGTGGGTGTGAGCCTGGATTGGCTCTAGGGCAGCTCATGACTCTGATCCAGACAAGCAGCTGAGAGGTGGTTAATTATGATTGCAATCCATTCATTAATCCACGTTCAGTTTAGGCTTGGGTAATAAAAAATCTGTTTTTTCAAGCTTTTGAATGATTCACAATTTCAGGTTTTATATAGTATTTTTGTCTCGTCTCTTCACACATTGTTCCCTTCCACTGGGGGATTCTGGATGAAATGCTGGATGAAATTTGCTGTGCTGTCACTTTTGGTTGCATTTGACGTTCTACGAACTTTACACTTTCCGTACAAATGAGGCAACATCACCACATTATTTTTTACAGGCTCTTCCTACAGGAGGAGACCTACAGCCTGTGTCCATGTTGGTTTGCGGGTTTTTGTTCACAAGGTCCACAGATGATCGGGGCTGCTGGTGTTTGCAAATCAAGGTTTTTTTTCTTTCATTTTGCTAGACAGAAAATATTACTGTAACAAATATCTGAATGTAAAACCTTAATTTTATCGTTCTGCACATTGCATTAGAACCTCATTAAAACACAGTGGTGGTTCTGCTTGTTCCCTGAGACGCCACACTGAGCGGCTGCCTGTGTCGCCCATACCTAAGCTCAGCAGTGTTAATGATAGCACTGCGACAATGCCCTAGGGCTGCTGCTTTTGGTATGATCACTGTATGATGTGGACTGTACTATGTCCCCCTTTCTAGTCGAGCAGGAGTCCATATGGAAGTCTGTGTCGGTGCAGTCCTTCTCGCTCAACCTGAAGAACCACTTCAGCCTGTTGAAGGATCAGCCTGTTACATCGACCCCGGCCGGACAGCCTGGGGTGTCCGTCCCGCTAGAGCTTGGAGCCGAGTCCTACGTCAACCTCCTCAACCTGGAGACTCCCATGGAGGGCAAAGGTCAGACCAACGGAGAAAGCGGAGATAACGGCCGGATTGCGGGCCTGTCTGACGTGCTGGAAAGCGAGATCGACACCAAAACTCAGATCCTCAGGACAGTGACTGAGCGGTAAGGTGGCATTTTTTCGACGTCGGTCCTCCTGACAATCATACTGATCAATAATTATTGGTGTATCAGTAATTATGTGAAGCTGAAATGAGCCCGTCGTTCCATACTGCTTGCTCTGTGTATCTGACCACAGCTGTGCAGTAATGGAAGTCAGAGGGCACCACCAATCACGAATTAGCCGGGGACAGTGAAATCTCCTCATTGGTTCTGATGGGGGAGAAATTGAGAGAGAACTGCATACAGCACATTCTCTCTCTCTCTGTCCTCCGCTGGGAGGCCTGGCAGCCCAAGCCATTCAGAGTCCTGCAAGGTTCCACTTTTGGAGACCTGCACCCGGCCGCACCCGGCCACACCCACACAGTACAGCACCATCACCCACCCGTGCACCCATGATTATTTCAAAGTTAAATCCACACCCGCCCGGGCCCGTTAACATTCTGCTCGTTACCCACCCATTTGTATGTGAATGTTTGTCGAGGCGGTTATCTAATGGTGCGTTAGTTTTTCTCTCGGAACTCGGAAATTCCGAGTTGAGTGACATCACGTCCGACAATCTCCCGTTCGAGCCACCACATCTCGGAACAAACATGGCTGCCTCCATGAACACGCTGCTGTGTGTTGTTGCTTTATATTTTAGCAGATTTGGAGTGAGATTATTTTTTCCGAGTGACAAACAAACAAGAAACACGAACTAGTCAAACCACATTAAAATCTTTATAAAATATTTTAGCACATTCATAGCAATATTCTTTTTTTGAGAGGCAAACAAACTACAAACAAACCAAAGACACTAACTAGTCTGGTAAAAATCTGATATTGCATGATAGGATACTGTTTACGGTCATGATATGGTATTCTCTAAATCGAACATGTGCAGTTACATTTATAACTATTAATACATTTAACAAAATAAACATTTTTAAAGATTTATAAAACAGAATTACTGTTGAGTGTGTAAGCCGCCATGTTGAAATTACGTCACAGGGGCAACTCGGACAACAAAATCTTGTCCGACATCAACGTCATAAGAGGCGTGTTTCCGACGGGAAGTGACATTTTTCGTGACGTTTCGTGACGTTTTCATCCGAGTTCCGACTTGGAGAGAAATAATCGAAAGCACCATAAGGTACCCCTGACATACTGAACACACTGTGATGATGACAATTTGCACATGATAGTCTAATACATAGATATTTTCGCTTATATGTTATTTTTGCAGGCTACAATACTGTTTTGATTGACCTGCTACCCGCCCGTGTGTAATGAATTACCCGCCCGTAAAATTCCAGAACATTAAAATCTGCCCGTTTCAGCAACTATCTGCGGGTACCCATTGGGTACCCACGGGTACCCGACCCGGTGCAGGACTCTGAAGCCATTACAAATGGGACAAATCGGGCAGGCCAATCGGGCAGGCCCCCTCCCCCACCATGTCTCCATTTCTTCTGTGGTCTTTTCCCATAGTTTAAGCTTGGAATTTGGAGTGACAGACTCTTTACGTCCCATAATGCCTTGCATATCTTCCTTTGAAAGCAAGATGGTTCATTATGTACAGTACATTCATCATTACTGTCTTTGAGTTGAACACCTGCTCATGTCACGGACGTTTAATTGTTACAAGAGTAGCTTTGTCAAAAGACGCGGGCAGCACTGGTGTTCAGGCGGTGAACTATGCCTGCACACCAGCAGCTGCCTTCCAAATTTGATCCATGCGGCCCGGAGACACAAAAGCCTCTTTGTGCGTAAGAAGATTGCAGGAAAATCATGTTTTTGGTACAATTACGACTTTCCTGAAAGTTCTCAGGGGAGGCTTTATTTTACGGCCCATTCCAGTCGTTTCAGGATGTCACACGTTTGTAGATCAGAGACTTGAATCCTTGCAGGCTGAATAGCTGAAAGGTGAGATATACCTAACCCAGTTTCACCACCACCCTCCCATCCATACGAGTTAACCATTACCCGTCCGACAAATTCTTTATATGCAGAACACCACTAAATCAATTTTTGAGGCAATTTACCCTAGTCAGAGGTTATTTTTGATACGAAATCACCATAAATCCTGTGTTTCCAGAAATGCACCTGGTTTTGCCGTAATGTGCCTATATAACGCTAATGCGTAGACAGAAAGCCAGTGATGCAGGCTGACAAGAAGTCGTGCTGTGAGGTCAATGTGGTCTTTAAGCCAGAATGTGACTGCAAATATGATGAATGTTTCCTGAGTCTGAAATACGACACATGAACATATTTTTCTCTTATTCACTATAACATTTAGCGATACAGTGGCAGTCAAAAGTTTTTGCACACACTATGATTTTCTACATTTGCGTGTTGCTCACTTAACTTTTACTAAATATCCACTAAATATTCTTTGCTAACACATACATTTACAGCATGTTCACCATTTGAGTACTTTTATTAGCAAGAAAATGTGATATCTTTGATTCATCAAAGTAACCTCCTCTAGCAGTTATAACAGCAGAGAAAATTCAAGGCATTCTTTCTACAAGGGAGATTACATGCTGCTCTGTTTAATGGGATGAAACAGGTAACTAGTGCATTTAAAGTTAAAGGTCAGCCTAGAATTTGACTGCCATCTCCACACAACCAGTTACCAGGATGTCAGACATGCACTGTTACTGTACATACTCTTTCCATGTTATAAAGGAAACTTTTTTTATTTGACTTCAATTGTATTCATTCATTTATAGTTGTTCACTCAATTTTCCAATGTTTAACAAGACAGTTTAAGACATAAATGGAAAAGTGGTAAAAGCCTGTGATGTGCAAAACCTTTTGACTGGTATTTTGACACATCCAATACATACAAGTACAAATTTTGTATTTTGGTAGTATTAAATATAGAAAAAGATGGAGTAAATTAATATTTCGCATAAAGGTTTGTGTCATGTATTGAGGGCGTAAGTATGGCGAGAGCTAGAGGGAGTTCCAGTGCCTTGGAATAATAAACAAAAAGAAAGAGCAGACCGGCTGCACCGTCTGCAGAAATGTCATGACACAGAGATATTGAGGCCTAATTACAGAAATAAGGTGGAGACGTAACAGTCTGCATCACAGAATTTCCTGTGTAGCGTGTTCAGACCTCCCTGTCTGGAGCTGTGAGCTTAGGGACCACCAAGCCTGTCCATGTCTGAGCGTAAGAGTCTGCATGGGCATATCAAGCGAGCTTCCTCACTCATTAAATCTTTATTTTAATGCTTGCGCAGTCAATTCTGTTGCCTAATGCGTATGAATTTTATATTTATTTTATATAACCTGTAAAATACGCCTATCTGGGATTTACATATTATTATTAGCACTGCTAACAAACGTAATGTTTCCTGTAGGTTTGTCAGACCCATATTGTTACATTAGCTAGCCCCATTGCTTCCTTTGCTGCGTGATTGACGTCACAGCCCCGACTGTAGAGGGGAATAGATTTGCTACCCAGATGCGATCAGATGAAAACAAACGAAAATAGCGACATCAAGAGACTCACCCCCCCCCCCCCCCCACCAACCCACAGTCAGCCTCAGGAAGTAGAATTGATCTCCCTGATTGGTCTTGTGTATGTGTGTGTGTGTGTGTGTGTGTGTGTGTGTGTGTGCGTGTGCGTGTGTGTGTGTGTGTGTGTGTGTCTGTGCGTGTGTGTGCGAGCGGGTTTACCTATCCTTAATGTCCCCATAACGTGATAAATATTTGTTTTTTTTCCCTTATGGGGACCGGTTTCCTGGTCCCCATAAGGGAAAACTCTATTTTATAAAAATCGGTGACTGCTATGAAAAAACTAAAAATGCAAAAACTCTTGTATCTTGTTAGGTTACTTATGGTTATGGTTAGGGCAGGGTAGGGGTTAAGGTTGTCATAGTTAGCATTAGCATTTTTCCCATTGAAATGAATGAGCGGTCCCCATAAGGATATGTTTACCCTACATGTGCGTGTATGTGTGTGTGTGTGTGTGTGTGTGTGTGTGTGCTCCTTATCCCTGGCCGGCTGCTCCATGCATAGCTAAATTAAGGCGCCGCTTTAAAAAGGAGAAGCCGACCTTTTCGTCCAGTTGGCCATTCATTGATTCCCTCACGCGTTACACAGAGTCATCGCCGCCACCTGCCTGCGGACTGGGGGGAGCCGCTCACTTCATCTGCGCTTTCAAGCAAAGGCTGAATAGCAACAGCAGTATTTAATTAATCTGCCTAACTTGTGGCTACCTGTGGGGAGTCAGGCAGCCAGCGAAGCCCATTCTGCTCACTTAACACCAAAACGTCCATCTGCTTCCAGCCACTTACCCTGGGCAGGGTGTTTCTGCGGGGTGGGCACCTATGTCATGCGGCACAGGGCACAGTGTTGCAGCACATCCTGATTGACGATACCAGTCAGAATAGAAACATCAAAGTGTCAAATTTTGGTCTTTTACGTTGTCAGAAAACTTACAAACTTATATCAGTTGTTGTCCATAAACAAATTAGAAACAAATGAGCAAACTGTCGTAAATAACCAGCAGAAGAACAAATGAATAACAGGCAAGGGTGATCCATTCAGTTCACGCTTCTTCTGTATTTATTGGTTCATAGGCTGAAGAATGTGACTTTCTGCTAACTTGAATTAATGTATTACAAATGTCTTTGCAGCATTTCCAGAAGTTCATTCCTCATGTCCACAATCCGTTTCTCAAGAGCTGTGTACTCCGTGCATGTTTGACGTTTAGAGGGTTTTTTGGGGTTTTTGAGATAATTGTAGTTGCCTATATTAAAAATATAATCCATATTAATACTATATAGTTTCGGTATCACTTACGTGGTTCTGAAGATTTGAAGATAAGCTTAATCATCGCGATCGCCTTTCAAGGATGAAGACAGGGGAGAAAGCTCCAGAAATTCAAAATCCTTCGTAAAGATTTTTTTTTAATGGCTTCACTGTAGCTTTTAAAGGACAAAAAAAAATGTAAAAGGCTTTTAACAGTCTCTTTGATGCCGGCAAATGAACTTTCTGGAAGATTTGCCTTGTAAT